GGTCCTTGGAGAGGTACTGATGTTGGATGCCCAAACCATCAGAGGGGATGAGTGCTGGCATATAGGGACACCCAGGCTTGGGATCAAGCCTTTTCTGTGGCTAGGGAGCTGAGCATTCTGTCATATTGAAGTCTTGGATGGCATAGAGAAATTTAGCATTTTATAGTGAGGGAAGGGGTCAGGAGACTCTATGGCCTTCCTGAAGAATGGAAGGAGGATCTGTGTTCAAGAGAAGAAAAGTCAAAATGAAGAGAGAGGCAGAGTGGAGGCAGAGGGAGAGGGCGGATGGATGCTGGAGCAGTGAAAGACTCGGGCAGCTAACTGGTGAGCCAGCATGCTCAGAGCCTCTGGTGAGCAGGAGGTGTTGGGTGGCAGTGCTGTGGTGGTTAGTCTTCTGAGTGTCCCCAGAATAGCACAGCAAGGCATCCACTCCTCCCCTCCACCTGCACCCCAGGGTCATCTTGAAGCAGACCAAGTTTACAGGGAAATGTGACAAACCCTTGGAATGGGCTCTTACTGGGGACAAAGATCTTGAGCAGAGATGAAAAAGTTCCTTTGGCTTGGGCCCGTGGGGGGTGTTCTCCTGAGCACCACAGAGCTGACTATTCACTTGCAGCCCTTCTCAACTGGTGCCAGCTGCTGGAATGGACTGAATTCTTTCCTTGACTCTGCTGATCTGGCCCATTAAAAATGTTGCCCTGATTTGTCTGAGTTCTCTCCATCTGGATTCTGGGTGTACTGCCAGGCTGACTTAGCAGGCAACTGATGAAGTTTTCCCCTGGGCTGAAATTTCTCCTTAAGATCTTTGCATTTGGGTTTCCAGGGTACATCATTTAAGATTCAAGGGGAGTTTCCTTGGGCTGAAGCGACAAGTGGACTTCGACCTGTTTTCTCCTGAGGACAAGCCACTATATCAGAGTCCTGCCTTCTGGCCCTGCATACAATGGGAAATTGCCTCCAGACCTAGGTTAATGTTACCACACAACTCTTTGATGTAAAGAACACAGATGATGATGTCAGCTCAGAATCTGTCAGCAGCATAAACGGGCTGACACTCCAGTCCAAGGGATGACCTAGCTTAAACCCAGGGAGGGAGCCAGCTAGATTAGGAATGTTGGCTGGAAAGGCTGCACCAGCCAGTCTGGACACTTGTCTCCCCTAGTTGGGTGGCAAGTGTTGGGACTGGTTGGGGAACCATTTGTTTATTTAACAAACACTTATTTGTGTCATGCACTGTACTAAGTGCTTTAAAACAAAATGTATTTAATTTTTAAGAATATCCTGCGAGATGGGCTCCATTATTATTACATCTTTACAGATAAGGAAACTGAGGCACAGAGGTCAAATAACTTGGCCAAGAGCACATCACTGAAAAGCAGCAGAACCAGAATTCCAACCCCAAGCAGTTCAGCACCAGTCCAGGTTCTTGACCTCTCTGCTAGGCCCACCTTCATTAGCAGAGTATAAACCCTCAGAAAATATCCCTAGTACCTCTACTCCAGTTCAGGCCTAAATGGAATGTGGAATCACAATCAGAACCAAACTCCAAATCCAATCTGAGATGCAACTGAAATTCTTTTTCCTCTCCTAATCCTCACACATTCCTCTGTCCTGATGTGTTTTTTTTTTTTTTAAAGATTTATTTATTTATTTATACAAGCACTAGGTACAGTCAGAAGCGCTGAGGGTTAGAGAATTCACCAGAGCCAGAGTGGGGAACAGAACAGGAAGACTGACGAAGCACAGTGCTGAGGGGAGCAGCGGGCACGGCAGGAGAGGTCTGCGCGCCATGTGGGACCCTCGCCGGCTGGCTGGGGATCGAACCGGCGCTGCAGAGGCTGAGGGCAGCTTTGCAGCCCAGCACTCAACCGCTGCACCACTGGGAAGGCCCTGTCCTGATGTGGTCTTAAACCATTTCTGATACAAACATCAACACAAAATTGTCACTTTAGCTCAAGTCCAAACCCTAACTGGAGTTTGTAGTCTAAATCTAGCTGACCCGCTAACCCTAATCCTGGCCTTAACTTGGTCTCAGTTTCCTCATTCATTCAAAACCCGCCACTGACAGCAATTCTGACTCTGATCTTGACATTCTCTGTAATCCACAGCCTGACCCCTTAAACCCATCACCCACTAAATCCAAACCCCAGGAACCTCAAATGGAAACAAAGACTCTGTTATCTCCTTGAAAGCCTAGAGTGCAAGCAGGCGGTCCCTCTGGTTCACCAGGGCCATGGCCCGCCCACAGCCCCTGTGCTGTGCCAGGCTGTCCTGGGCGTGGTGGTGCTATTTCTGGAGGGTGGGTGGTGGGCTTGTAGTGTTTCCTTCAAAATGTCTTGTCTCATGCCCTCTGTGACCAAAAGTTTGCTCTGCAAGTCATTTGGCTGAGTTAGGGATGTGGTCTGTGGTTCCATAACAGAATCCTTATTCCAAAGCCCTATTCTCACCCACACCCGCCTCATTCCCCACCCTGAGCAAAAACTAATTCTAATGCATTCCAAAGACTAAAGAAACACAAGAATGCCACAAGGGGAACCTGGCACAGAGAAGACCAGATGGTGGGATGGGGAGGGGTGAAGGGGTAGGAGGGGAAGGACAGAGCAGCAGGGGATGTAAAAGGGGCAAGATGAGAAGAAGGAGCAGTGGGGAGCTGGGGAGGGGTCTCTGGAGACTGGTCCTCCTCCACGTGGCAGGTAAATGGTGGCCTGCCGACCACATCTGGCCTACAGACCTCTTTGGTCTGCTTGGAGATATATATATATATATATATATATATATTTTTTTTTTTAATTGGAAACATTTCACATAAAAATTATGGTCTCTCTTGAAAACTAGAGGCTCTGGCCACAGCAAGCCTGCACTGCAACTTGGCAGCACATGGCTGCCGCCTCTGAGTGGTGGTGGTCAGTTTCAGGTGGAAATTGCTCCCAGTCCCCACCTCCTCCCCCTGCCTCCCTGCTTCTTTACTCAGTTATTTATAGGTGCAGCTCCAACAGGCATCTGAGTCCGTGATCCCGGTGTACGTTATGAGCCCTGCCATGCTGCTGGGTGGTGGGAGTCACGAATGGGAGGCTGGGAGTGCATTTCTTTGCATTCATGATCTTCCCAGTGGTGGGGCCTGGGAGCATCTGTCTGTGAACCATCCCACAAGGGGAACCTTGATGAGGTGAATGGGATCCCCGTTGAGCTGAGTTGTGACCTTCACTGCCCGTAGGAAAAATGGAGTCATGTGCATCTCGCTGCAGTGAGGAGTTTAACCGGGACGCTGCCTGCCAGTGTGACCACCGCTGTCCCCGGCATGGAGACTGCTGTGACGACTACGAGCACTTGTGTGCAAGTGAGGCTCTGGGGGCTGAGGGCCCAGGAGGGACGAAGGCCAGCCAGGTTTCTGCTCAGCTTGCCTGAGGGGCTACTGGCAGGTGTCCCTCAGTCCAGACGAGGATTCGGGGCAGGTGACAGGGCTAATATGCCCCAAAACAAGGGCCTGTGGGCCAGCGCAGAGGTCTGGGATTTATTTGGCTGCCACACATTCCAAGCTTTCTAGGGTGTCCCTACCTTAAAACCCCAACTTAAACAATAGCTATAATTTACCTGGCATATCTATCTGAATTATCAGGATTAACAGTACCTTGAAAATTGAAGTGATTCCCCAAAAACAACATGATAAAAATGCTATTCTAGCATGTATTACATTACCAGGGAGAGAGTCAGGAGAGATCTGCAGTGCCATGTGGGCTAGCTCCCTGGCCGGGGATTGAACTCGTGCTGCAGTGGCTGGAGATACCTTCATAGTACTGAGACTATGTGCCACCAAGGAGGCCCTAAATGGATCATTTTTAAAAAATCATTTTCAATAATCCCCTTATTTGAATGCTCCCAGTGTTTTAGACTTCCTGATGTTCCTCTTTCTGACATGAACGAAGCCTTGCTACATTCACTGTCAAACCATGTACCCCAGCTCCCAGTTTGGAAAACATGGTCACTGAAGCCATGGTAGGTGATGACTGCAAGGCCCCTGTATAGAGAGCTGTGCAGCCCACAAGGACACCTGGATGAGAAGGCTAGTTGAGCCAAAATTGGATCTGTACCCTTTTTGAAAAACCATGTATCTTGGTAAAGAACTGTGTCTGCTGAGAGAAAGGAGAACTTTTTCCTAATTTGCCCAAAGGTAGTATCTGGTGACCCAATCACATGTCCACTGAACTACTTCCACCTTGAAGAACCTTTATTCAAATTACACAAAATCAACATGTATATTAGCAGAAGTTCTGCTGATCAGGCCAAGATAAGGAGACCCAAGCCCAGCGCTCAGGGCAGAATTGAAGCCTACCCTTTTGCTGCGGTCTTGGGCCTCATTCGGCAGTTCACCTGGCACCTTGCACCATCAGGCCAGCATTTAAGATAGACATGATAATCTATCTAGTATTCAAGGTAGAGCCATTTCAGCTCAGCCATTGCAACTCCAAATTCTTTTCCCATAGAAAAAATATTACAAATGATGTGTGTAACTCCAGATCAGCTCTGTTTAGCATAAACTGTGACTGAATTAAGAGTCCTGTGGGTTGCCAACATTTAGAACACAGCACAGCACAAAAAAAAGAAATCAGATGTTTGGGGACTGAATGAACAACCTGCTTCCTGGGATTCCACAGGACTGCCGGGTGAGACCACTCCCACATTTGGAATCACTCTGTGGAAATGATTCTACTGGGTGAGGGGAGGAGCTCAGAGTCTGCAGGAGCACTCCTCTGGCCCCCTCTGCCCCCCACTCCGGTCTCTGCTGCCTGGCCTCTGCTAAGGGAACTGGGCAGTGATAGGAATGTGCTTTTCTGAACACACCCTCCTCCCAAGCAGTCTTTGTGGCCATTGTTAGGAAGAAAGAAGGGAAGTTGGTATCTCAGGAAATAGTTCTTATTCCTGGAGGCCTTGGGAGGAGCCCACCCTTGGCTGTGACAGGGAGTTACTCTAGGTAAGGGAGGTTCCTAAGTGAGGGCCTTGTGATTGGAAGAGTGTCAAACCTGTCCATCTGTCAGCTTCCACTAGAAAAAGTCCTAGCCAAAATCAGAGTTTTCAGTCCAAAAGGGACTACCCACTGCCTCCCTTGCGCCTTTCCACAGATGAACATGCTGAGGAGCATAGTGGTGAAGTGGTAAGGTAGATTGCACCCGGTTCAGGTGAATTTCCACTTTTCAGTAGTTTTCAACACTCTCTCCTCTTCTGTCTTCCATTTTAAGGTTTTCTCCTCTTTTACTTGGTAGTTGTTTTTCATATCCTAGCTCCTGTTTTGTATTTCCTGCCAAGGCACCTGCTTGTGCTGAGGCTGGGGGACCTGAGGGCCAGAGGAAAGGGGAGGGAACACTTGGGAAGGGTTGTGACTTTTCATCTCTGACCTACAGTTGAAGAGGACCCAGAAGAGCCAGAAGCATTTCTAGAAATGGAGGAAGATTCCGAGGACGCCCCAGCCAGTCGTGAGTCTGCCTCTCCAAGGGGGGGTTCCTCAGGATAAAGGAGGGGAGTAGGAGGGTACACTGACAACAGCCCCAGCCCCAAACCAGCACCGGGAGGTGGTGAGAGGGGCTCTGGGTAGGAAGAAGCTGGGATGGGTAGAGGTGGGGTGTTCAGTCTTTCTGGGGAGGGAGCAGAGAGAGTCTAAGGCCTGTGGAGAGGCAGGAGAAGGAAGTGGAAGAGATTTTATTTTTAGAGTGGGAAGATTATAAAAACAACAGGCCAGAAAAGTAAAGTTCAGCTTCAGAAAGGACTTCCTGACTGTGAAGGGTGTGCACCAATCAAGACTGTTTGTTTTCCTTCCCTGGAGATCTGTAATAGGAAGAGTGAGGAGAGCAAGGCTGAAGGGGGACTGGTCACCATCGAGTGACCTCTAGAGGTCATTGGCCACACACCTCGCCCCTGTTCTTTCAGACTTGTACTCAGCACCCAACTCCTGCAGGGGCCGCTGCCATGAAGCCTTCGACAAGCACCACCCGTGCCACTGCAATGCCCGCTGCCCTGAGTTTGGGAACTGCTGCACGGATTTCGAGCATCTGTGTGCTCATGGTCAGTCTCCTGCTCCCTTTAGCACAGCTCCAGAGACACAGGAATATTCTAGGGCCATCCTTCACCAAGTGTGACCCCTGGCCCAGCAGCATCTGGGAATTTGCTAGAAATGTACCATAGGTTTGGAAAGGCTCTTTCTGCCCACTTGAGTGTGTGAAAGTGTCCTTCATTCTCCTCTCCTTTTGTATAATAAACCTGCCCTTTTGGATATAAAAAAGAAAGGAAAGGAAAGGAAAGGAAGACAGAAAGAAAGAGAAAGAGAGAGGGAGAAAGAGAGAGAGAGAAAGAGAGAGAGAAAGAAAGAAAGAAAGAAAGAAAGAAAGAAAGAAAGAAAGAAAGAAAGAAAGAGAGAAAGAGAGAAAGAGAGAAAGAGAGAAAGAGAGAAAGAGAGAAAGAGAGAAAGAGAGAAAGAGAGAAAGAGAGAAAGAGAGAAAGAGAGAAAGACAGACCCGAGTGAGAAACCCTAGAGATAGGGCCAACCAATCCACTTTAACAATCCTTCTGAGTGACTCTGATGCATGCCAATGTTTGAGAACCTTCCAACAGGATGGGGGCAGTGTGGAGATTGGTGGACAGTCTCTGGGCAAGGCCATGTGCTGATCTAAAGATCCTCTGGGCCCCGGGACCCTGACGTCCAACCACTAAGGTACCTGTCTCAGCCCTCTCCCTCACTGCTGGCTTGTAGAAGGAGTCCAAGAGGGGGTACATGGACAAACAATCATGCCCAGCCTTCCTTTTCTCTGAGAGCACCCCTCCCCTAATTCCTCCCAGAGGGCTTCTCCCGCAGCAGTGACGCCATAACCAAGGAGGAGCTGCAGAGCATCTCTGAGAAGATCTACCAGGCGGATGTCAACAAGGCCCAGAAGGAAGACATCATTCTCAACAGCCAGAACCGAATCTCCCCCTCAGAGACTGGGGACCAAGTGGACCGTTGCCCAGAGCCGTGAGTTCCCTTCATTCCTCTTCCTGCAACGTTTCTCTCCTAGTTTTGCTTTTTTGATGCTTGCCTTGGCTTGTTTCTCCTCAAAGCAGGCAGGATCAAAGGGAGAGAAAAATATTTGTTCCCAGGGAGAAATAAAGCCATCTTGAGGGACAGTGGCATCCAGTTGGGAGGGTTTCTGTGATTGGCCAGGCTGATGATAGAATGGAACTTCCAAGAGCTGGCATGGAAGAAAATAGAGACCTCATGTATTGCCTTCAAGAGACCCTGAAGTGACCCCACTGCCCCTGAACCCAGCCCTCATATGCTTGCCCCTGGCTATCCTTAGGGTCCACATTTAGGCCTCTCAGTCGGTCTCCCTCCAACCCCCAGGCTCTTCACCTATGTCAACGAGAAGCTGTTCTCCAAGCCAACCTATGCAGCCTTCATCAACCTCCTCAACAACTACCAGCGAGCAACTGGCCGTGGGGAACATTTCAATAGCCAGCAGCTGGCCGAGCAGGACACCTTCCTCACCGAGGTCATGAAGACAGCCGTCATGAAGGAACTCTACAGCTTCCTCCATCACCAGAGTGAGTGAACCCTCAGGCAGTGCTGAGGACTCAGGTCTGTCTGCATGAGAGCCGGGTACCTCTGGGATCTGCAAGACAGAAGGTTCAGAGAGCAGGTGAGGAGGAGGCGGGACAAGGTAGAGGCCAGTATCCATCTGAGAGGGGGCAGGGAAGGGGACAGACAGGAGCCCAGAAGAAATCATGGACCCAATCAGGACTTGACAAATCTTGTCTGACTTGGGATCATCCCATCTTTTTAACACATTCTTAGCAGCCTTGTTTATCCCCTGCTTTTGACCTCTTCTATCTCAGGGTTCTCTGCAGGCCAGGAGTCACCCCACTCCACTCCAGGTTACTTCTCAGCCAGAGTCAGCCTCTGGCTGATTTTTCAGGCATTTAAAATCAGTCCCTGATTCTGCTACCTCTTCCTGCTAAGTCCAAGAAGGAGGCCAGTCACCTCATATGTTTGCTGGGGAAACAGAAAGAGAAAAATCCAAAAGTTCTGAGAGGGAAGTTCTATCGGGAAGGGTTCTGGTTGGACCCACTCCAGCTACATTAGAAACGGACCAAAAAAGGCTTGGGCAGGACTTCTTGGCATGGGGCTGTGTTTGTTTGTGTCCTCCAGATTCCTTTTCTGAACTCCAGGAGGTTGGGCTGTGCCTGAGGGGCTGCTGCTTCCCTGTCACCTCACTCGTCGACATGGCAATCCTGCACCGCCCCCTGGTGTTGCTTTGTTGTCAAAGCTGGAGAGAATCTTGGCCTAGCCTGAGCCTTCAACTTTTCAAAGGAGAGAAACAAGAGGCCCAGACAGGGCAAGTGACTTGTCTGAGGCCACAAAGGAAGTTGAAGGCAAAGCTGGGGCTGGAACTCAGGGCTCTAATACCGAGGCCAGGCTGTTCCATTGCTCCTCTTGTCTTCACTCTCTCCCTGTCCAAACCCACCTCATCCTTAATGTTCTTGTTCTTATTCATGAAGCTGCACCTGCCCTGGTTAGTCTCTTCAGAGGTCAAGCCTTTGGAGTATCACCCAAAATAGCCTCGACTGGGAGAGACTTGGTTTGACTCCCATCTCTGCCACAGTTAGTGACCCTGGGCAAGTTAGCTTATCTGGTGAGCCTTTTCTGTGGAACAGGGTCTGGAGGATTATGTATGTAAAGCACCCAGGAGATAGCCCAACACCCAGTAAATGGAAGCTTTTCATGAAGCCATTCTCGTGTTTCACGTACATTTAGTCTTGTTTTCCCACTATGTTTTAAGTCCTTGAAAGGAGGGACTAGGTGTCTCCTTTGTATCCTTCTAATACAGTTCTGGGTAGCAAGTAGTCCATATATAATGATGCTTTAATTTAGATCCCCACCAGCACCGACCTTTCCCTTGGGTGCTCACTGCCTCTCTTGTCTACCTCATCTGCACCTGCACTGAAGTTTGTATAAAGAGAACTCCTGGTTCCCGGCTCTTCCTCCAGACCTGCTTCTTCCTGTCTTCCCCAGCTTGCAAATGAGGCCATCATTCACTCATCTGCTCAGGCCAAAAGCCCAGGATGTAGATATGATTCTTCTCTTTACCCCATTGCTCTTCATCAGTTATCACTCCTTCAACACCTATCGCCACCCCTCCTCTCTCCTCTGAGGCAGCCGCGGCAGCCTAAACAACCACCACTCTGAGCTCAACAGCACGTTAGCCTCAAAACTAGTCTGTTGGCTCCTGCGCGTACACCCCCTTGACTTTGAAAATAGCAACCAGAATGATCCTTTCAAAACAAAGCTTCTACCACATAATTAGACCTGAAACTTGTCACTGGCTCTTCTATCACACAGAAGCTAGAGCAGTCTCTGGAGCTACACTGTGGGCTCAAGTGCTGGCTTTGCCTCTTATGAGCTATCATCTTGCATGAATTGTGGAAACTTTGCTTCAGTTTCCTCATCTCTAAATTGGGGATAATTAGTACTAATATCTGTGAAGTGTCAATGTGATTCAAAGAATCGACATCTCAGGAAAGCAACACACAGTGCCTGGCCATAGGAAGCACTCAATGATTCTAAGATATTTTTTGTTAACTGAGATCCATAGTTTGGTGATCTGGTCCCTGCCTCCTTCTCCAACCTCCTTGCCTGTCACTCCCCTTGGTGCTCCTTGAACACCAAAGACCTCTTATTCTGCAGGTCTCTAATTAGTGCTACCCTTTCCTGATCTTTCTTTCCAGAACAGATTTTTCTTTCTTTCTCCTCCCCTCCCATCCTCACCTCTAGTCATCACAAGATACTCTATTTTATTTTCTTTATAGCACTTATCTGAAGTCATATTGTTTACTCATTGTTTATTGTGTCTCTTACGCTGGAACATAAACTAGAAAGACCTTGCCCTTGTTACTCCCTGCTGAATCCCCAGGCTTTAGATCTGGGCCTGGCACAGGACAGGCACCCTATCCCCCACACATCCCTGTTTAATACATAATAGAATACATCTGTTGGTCTTACCCACCTGTCTCTTGGCAGGGCAAGTGGCCTTGTTTCCCAGAATCTTCTTCCTTCCCCTCTCCTAACTCCTCTGTTCCTTCTCCTAGACCGCTACAGCTCAGAAAAAGAATTTGTCAACGACTTGAAGAACATGTGGTTCGGGCTCTATTCAAGAGGAAGCGAAGAGGCAGATTCGAGTGGCTTTGAACACGTCTTCTCAGGTGGGATGCCACTGCTTGGAGAGAGTTAGGGATGAAGAGAAAGGCCTTCCCTGAGGAACAGAGCAGCCTTGATCATGAACGGGTCAGCAGCCAGGCCTGCTGGCAGGGAGGGACATGCTGCAGGCCAAGCGGGAGGATCAGGGAAGCCATTTTTGAGGAATAGGCTCTTCTGGAATTGAAGGGGGAAGGAAGACCAGAAACTGGGGTTCAAGGGGCACACATGGGAGGGAGATGGTTTGGGAGCTTAGCTGTTCCTTTCCTCTGCTTGGTTGGCTGCTTCCCAGAGATCTGTGGTCTTTCTCCCCACTGTTCTACCCCCAAAAGTTTCTACTAAGTCTGGCTTGCTCCTGAAGAAACAGTGACAGCAGTATCCCGAGGTGGTCATCAGTCCAACTGGGTGGAGGGATTCTCCCCAGGACTTGAGCTGAAGTTGGAGTGAGAGTTAGGGGTGAGAGTTAAGGATATGAGGGGCTCTGGGGAAAGGGGGATATTCTAGGAATCAGAGACTGGAGAAGGGGGATAGCCTGGCATAGGAGGCAGAAAGTGGTTTGGAAGGGAAGCCCCCCAGCCCCATCTTGAACTCTATTATAGGTGAAGTCAAAAAAGGCAAGGTCACCGGCTTCCATAACTGGATCCGCTTCTACATGCAGGAGAAGGAAGGCCTGGTCGACTATTACAGCCATATCTACGATGGACCTGTGAGTAGAGAGTGCTGCCCCCGGAACTGAAAAGCCCACCTGGTAGCAGACTTCTGCCCTCATTCTGCCTTCCAGGTGGTCAGTTTCCACCTTGACTCTCACTGGCAGGAGTTGTGACAAGGACTCTCTGTCTCCTGGTGAGCAGGGTTATGCAGCCAGGATGCTGGGATTCCCTTTCAGTGAAGACTGAACTGCAGGGGTGAGGAGGCAGGGGTACCATCTCAAGATGGGTGGCTGGGGCTGGAGAGGATTCTCAGAGGGGAGGGCCAAATACAAGCCCAAATTTCTTTAGAATGTGGCCTTAGTTAGAAGCTTTGGCCTGGCTGGTCTCAATTAAACTCCTTATATTTATAAAAAGGAAACTTTGTTACCTTGTGCTAGGAAATAATTTGGGGACAATAAACTCTCCTTCCCTATGTGTGAGGGCTACAAGGAACAGCTATGTCCCTGTGCCCTGGCATCAGCTGTGTGGGTGCCAACTAACTTACCTCTGTGGGAGACTTGCACCAGGAGCTCAAGAGGGTCCAATCAGGACTCAGTCAGATTAGCAGGGCAGACAGTTTTCTCTGTTCACTTAAAAGAATTCATCATCTTAGGAAAGCTCACATGCGCCTTTCAAGGACCGTCACAAATCCAGGCTGACAGTTCCCATCTGCCACCCTCTGTCAGACTCCGCTCTGGGTCCTCACCAGACCCTCCGTGGTTCTTCTCTCTCAGTGGGACTCCTACCCTGATGTGCTAGCCATGCAGTTCAACTGGGACGGCTACTATAAGGAAGTGGGTTCAGCTTTCATCGGCAGCAGCCCTGAATTTGAGTTTGCACTCTACTCTCTGTGCTTTATTGCCAGGCCAGGCAAAGAGTAAGTACTGGGCCAGCCCTGGGGACAGGCTGGGAGCTGCAGGCTGTCCTTGGCCAGGACATTCAGGGACCTTGAATCTGCCTCTCAATGGCTGGGAGCACATGGACAAATCCCTGTTCTGGGTTTCAGTTTTCTCATTTGGAAAATGAAGTTGTAAAATTAGCTTGATAGCTGTCAAATTTCATCTTAGCAGCAGAACTTTCCCCCAAATGAAATTTTATGCAGGACCTTTACCTATAAGGTGTTTAGAAATAGAGCTGCCCTGGGGTTCTAGGTCTATGTGGCTTCAAGGAAGTTTGGGGGAAACATAGAGCTCCAGAGAGCACAGTTTGAAACCATTAGGTCTCAAGTTCTCTAACATTAAAGGACTCTGGGCCCTATTACTTCTGAAACCCTAAGCTGACATTTCATTTTGAGGGGAGGGATTGTTCAGCTCTAGATTATGGGGTTATTTTTTTAGAGTACTGCTCTGGGAAAGAGGAGGAACAGTGCTAAGAAGACTGAAAACAAAGCATGGATTGTGAAAGGGCTCCTGCATACAGGGAGATAGAGGTAGTGACTGAAACATGTAAAGTAGAGGGGACTCCTGCATGGGTGGGACTTGATCCTTCCAGCCTGCGGACAGAGGCAGAGTGAAGTGGTGCCCCTACTGATGAGGCCTAGGGGTGCTGAGGTTCTTGACTTCTTTGCAGGAAATAATTCATGAGGGAGTCAGTACAGGTGAGTTAGAAATGAAGCTTTATTGTAGGTGAAAGTCCCACACACAAGAGAGTGCAGGTAGATTCAGAGGAGAGTGGTGCCTTGACCCTTAAGGCTGCTGACACATGTACTTGCTTAGTTGGAGGGGACAAGTGCTCACAGGTGGGATCCTGATGGGTTTTGACAACTTTTGCTTAATGGAAGGGCCAGAAACTTTTGCTTAAAAGAAGGTTGGGATAATGAGAGTTGGCCAATTTTGTTTATCATAGTAATGGACCCTTAACCTCTTGTTAGTTAGATAAGATGGAAGTCTGATAAGTAGTGGGACCTGTGTGAGAGATCAACTAATAGGGTTTAAATCAAAGTAATAGGGTTTGAATCACTTTGTTCTGAAATGTGCACAGCTGTTTTTCAGGAATACTGGATGGGGAAGTGGGGGCTAAATTCCGTTGTGCTGAATTCCTGTCATATCTCACTATAATTGGGGATTTTTCCTCACAGGTGCCGGTTAAGCCTGGGTGGATATCCCTTGGCCATCCAGACCTACACCTGGGACAAGACTACCTATGGAAATGGCAAGAAGTACATCGCCACCGCCTATGTGGTGTCTTCCACCCAATAGAGCTTTGAGTGAGATAAGAGCATAAGGGGAAGAAGAGCTTTGGCAGGACTAATATGCTACGTGCTCTAGGCTGGAGAGGAAATAGAGACATTAGAAGGGATTCCCAAGCCCAGAAATGCCCATGTGGGAAAGAGAAAAAAAGAGACAAAATTAGGAAAATGCAGAGAAACAGTCAAATCTTTGTCCTCGAGCATTTTGGCAACAAAGATTAAGAAACAGGGTCCAGATAGAGGAGATAGGAGCCCGAGTTAGTTTTCTGCCCTGATGGGAAGTGGAACCATAAAATAAGTCCTTGACCCTGTGGGCCTCATGTTTCCTTTTAATATAAAGAGAAGGTTTGGCCCCTTTCTTTTTGGGGAGAGGGCAAACCTGATGCTATTACTGTGAAAACATTTTCAATTGTTCTTAGGAAGTATGGCTGGTAGAAATTTAAAATTGCTATAATGGCTGCTATTGTCCACACCTTGGCAAGCTGCAATTTAGCCCTGTGTGGAGCTCAAAGAAATCAGGCCTTGGAAATCAAAGAGTGGGTATTTGGTCTATTCTGGGGTCAGATCTTCTCAGAACAGGGTCATGGAACTCCGGTGCTAAATGAAGGGGGTCATGGGCTGGAGGGAATGGACTTCTCCAGGCCTGCTCAGCAAATGAATCAGAAATAGCAAGGATGGGATAATGGGATAATAAAATAATGGTACTTCAATAACAATTTAAGAAAAAGAAATAACAGATACATTCAGTATTGGTTCTTGAACTTTAAGAACTTCTACTTAAGAATATCTCAGCTTCCAGATGATTATTAGATAGCTTAGAATAAATCATTAAAAATAAACACAATATTTTAATGAAAAAAAAAAAAGAAGCCCCCACTTGTAGATGTTTAGTGTGGTTACAGAGCTATAGAGGAATTGCCCTCATGGGAGGAAGGTTTTGAATCAGAAATAAAAAGGAACTTATAGCTTGGTGTATGAACATTAATTATCTTAAGGTTTATGTAGCAGCCATAATTTAAATAAACCCTATAAAAAAAGACTAGGGACAGTGGAACTTTTTCTCAAGCTCAATTGTGCATTTCTCCCCTGACCCCAATGGGACATTGTCCTGCAGAGCCAGGCTTGAACTATGGTTTAGAGGGTTCAAGTCTCCAATTAAAGTCATTTAAGCAAACTTGAAATACATCTCTTCTTAGTGTATAGCCTCCTCAACTGTCTGTCTCCCTGCCTTTTTCCTGGAGCAGGGCTAGGGGTGATACTTCTAGCTCAGTGTCTCTTCAGTTGACTTGCTTGAAGAAGGCGGTATCTTGGGGAAGTCGGTGAGGACTCACCAACTCTCTTGAGCCAAGAGGAGGAGAGAATTCTTGCTGGTTAACTTATAGTATATAGAGTGGAAGGAATGTCCTTCTGGCTTCTGATCCCACATATAAGGAGCTTGAAAGTCACCACTTCATACTAATAACAAGTAAAAATCTGACCAAACAAAGGGTCAGGAAAAAGGCAAAACTTGGAGGCAAACTATAGATCTGAAGCCTACAGTCGGGGAGAGGAAGGGGTCAAAACAGAGTAGGGAAGAGCACGAGGGACTGCAGTGATGGTTCACAGGTGATAGGGTGGTGGGAGTTTTGTGGGAATGACACCTAAGGGGAGAAATCAAATAATATATAAAAATAAACAACAATGTAAGAAAATAATCTGACCAGACTGAAAAGTCAGCAACTCATCTTGGATTTGTAAGGGAAGTGAGGCCATGGGCAAATTGCTGACTGTGGAAAGACAGGTTTTTGCTGACTGGAAATAATATGGATTGGAAATAAGAATGTGTATGGGAATAAAATTGGGAGACATGGCTTATTGGAGCAGAGTCTCAATTAGAAACCACTGTAGAAATCAGTGCTGGATAGGAAAACCTGAACTGTAATTGATGAATTACAGTGTGGCTTAGTGTGAACAGCTCAGAATTCAAAACTCCAGGGTCTCAGTCATAGATTAGGCCCTATAGTAATGTGAGGTATACCTCTAGAAGGTTGGCCAGGTTCCCATAAAAAATATCCAAGAAAAATTCCCTTGGGCTTCTGGCATGGGGAGGAGAAAAGAAGCCATTTGAAATATCCAGAGCATTCTTTCCTTAAGTCTGCCCTCAGAAACTAGTTAGAGCCTAATCTTCAGGGATATTATCACAGCCTAACTGATTGGGAGGGGAAATTCTCACTCCAGCCCCCTCTATCCAGTCACTGTCACCCACACAAGTGAGGGGGAGAAAAGTGGAGGAACACTGCGAAGTTCCTAGTCCAGTGGCATGGGGCCACTAAAGGGCTGAAACCTCATCATATGATGGAGGCGAAGAGTGAACATTTGTCAAGGAAGCGTCACGAGACCAAAACCAGGTTCACACAAGGCCAGAAGCTGGAGGTTGGGGTAGAAGTGATGAACATGGTCATTAAACAAGCTATACAGAGAAGTAAAGTATCCAGAGATACAGACTGAGGTGCAGAACAGGAAGGGACATGGAGATTGAGCACCATTGTAAAACAATCACCGGTCCTTCCAAATTGACCTAGTCAAACCAAATATAGAAAAAATCCTCAGGCGCCAACCCTAGACATAATTAATGGGATAGCAGCTAACAATCCCACAAAGGAATGAGCCCCTCCCAAATTGAAGACTATGTCAACGTGATCTCTGACTGGCTGGGGCAGTAGTCTTTCTGCCCACTTGTGATTATGCAGGTGCTTCTCTTCACCCACCAAGCTTCTCCCTTTGCAAAGCAGCAGAGTCAGCTCTTCTCCCAAGACTGCCTGCCTGTGACTATGCAGGCCTCTCTTTTAACAAACCTGTCCCTTTCAGGGGCAGCTCTTCCAGCCAGCTTACATTCCGGCAAGCATCCTTTCCTTCCCTTCCCTTCATTTTTATAATAAACCTGACCTTTGGTGTAACTAAATGTCTCTGCCTCTTTGAGAAACTCACCACGTGCTGCTGAAACTTTTTCAGAGGAAAGGTAACCCAAGGACCCTGCTCTCTGAACCCAACACCTCTCTAAACCTCATCAGTAGGACTACAGAACACTTCCCTTCCCCCTATACCTGTCACTACTTACTAAGGCCAATTACAGCACTTCCTTTTGCCAGTACATTGTATTTGGTATATGGGGGAATATTTCAGAAGGCAAAAAGCAATTTGAAAAGACAGAGCAAGCATCAGAACATGACACGACAAAGAAGTTGGAATTAGCAGACTAGGAATGCCAAACAACCTGATTAATAAACTAAGGGCTCTAATGGTTAAAATAGACAGCATATAAGAACAGATGGGCAATGTCAGCAGAGAGATGGAAAGCTTAAGAAAGAACTAAAAAGACCTGTTAGAAACCAAAAACACTATAACACAAGTGCAGAATGACTTTAATGAGCTTATTAGTAGACTGCACACGGCTGAGTAAAGAATCTCTGAGCTTGAGGATATTGCAACAGAAGCCTCAAAAAGAAAAAAGAAAAATAGAACAAAGACTTAAAAGAAAAAACAATATCCAAGAACTGTGGGACACCACAAAAGGTGTATCATATGCATAGGGTAATACCAGGAGAAGAAAGAGAAAGAAGACCAGAAGAAATATTTTATACAATACATGAATTTCTTTAAATTAATGTCAGATATCAAGTCATAGCTCCAGGAAGCTCAGAGAATATCAACAAATGGCTAAACAACAAAGTAATTATGAACTATACCCTGGCATATCATTTTCAAATGAAAGGAGATCAAAGAGGAAAAAACAACTTACCTATAAAGGAACATAGATAAGAAGAACATCCAACATCTCTTAAGAAACCATGCAAGCATGAGGAGAATGAATTGCAATATTTAAAGTGTTCAGACAAAAAAATTCCAATGACTTAGAATTCTGTAGCCTGAGAAATTGGCCTTTAAAACTAGAGGAGAAATAAAGGCTTTCTCAGATAAACAAAAACTGTTTATGTTGCCGGCAGATCTGCCTTTCCAGAAGTTCTTTAGCAAGATGGAAAATAACACAGGTTAGAAACTCAGCTACATGAAAAAAGAAAGAGTTTTAAAAGAGGAATTGAAGGTAAAACAAAAACTTTTATATTTCTGTCTTTAATTGATTTAACAGATACCTGTTCAAAATAATAATGGCAACAATCTATTTTATTTTATACTTGCGTATATATATTTATATATACTTGTATACTTATATATTATGTGTGTTCATATATTTACATATGCTTATATATAAGGAAAATGAATTACAGTACAAGGAACAGGAGGAATTAGTATTGTTTTATTACTGTAAGTTATTCACATTACCTATTGGTAATAGTGTTATTTGAAAGTGAGCATGAATAAGTTTTATTTAGTTTTAAATGCATATTGCAAACTCTAGGCAACCATTAAAAAAGGTAAGCAAGGAAGTTGAACTGGTATACTAAGGTGAAAAAAATGGAATGATAAAAAATGATCCATTAAAAGCATAAAGGACAGAAAAATGATATAAGGTAAAAATAAGGCCAAAGACAAAGATAAACACCTGGGATTACATCAAACTGAAAAGCTCTGTATAGCCAAAGAGACATTAACCAAAACAGAGAGACACCCCACTGATTGGGAAAAAAATCTTTGCACTCCATTCAATTGATAAGGGACTGATGACAAAGATATACAAAGAACTCACACGGCTCAACAAAAATGAAATAAACAATCCAGTCAAGAAACGGGCAGAAGAACTCAAAAGACATTTCTCCAAAAAGAAAATGCAAATGGCCAATAGGCATATGAAAAAATGTTTAACATCCCTTATAATCAGGGAAATGCAAATCAAAACCACACTGAGATACCACCTTACACCAGTAAGAATGGCACATATCAAAAAAACAAGCAACAACAAATGTTGGCAAAAAAGGAACTCTCCTACATTGCTGGTGGGAGTACAAACAGGTCCAACCACTGTGGAAAGCTGTCTGAGGTTCCTCAATCTACTAAAAATGGAGCTAAAAAATCCGGCAATTCCACTCCTAGGAATCTACCCAAAGGACACAAAAACAGTGATTCAAAAGAGCACCTGTACACCTACATTTACTGCATAACTATTTACAATAGGTAAAACCTGGAAACAACCCAAATGCCCAAAAATAGATGACTGGATCAAGAAGATGTGGTATATATACAAGATGGAATATTATTCAGCAATCAAAAAAGATAAACTCATGCCATTCGCAGCATCATAGGTGAAGCTAGAAGGAATTATGCTCAGTGAAATAAGCCAGAAGGAAAAAGAAAAATATCGGATGGTTTCACTTATAACAGGAATATGGGGGAACCAAATAAGACATCAGTGTAAAAAAAATAATAACAGTTCAAAACACAACAAAGCAAAAACAGACAATTATAAATCAGAGACATACTGTAGGGGAGGAAGAAGGAGAGGGGTGAGAGGGAGGGAGTGAGGAGCACAGGGGACTATGGTGATGGTGCATGGGTGCTTTGGGGAAGGAGAATCTATGGGGACTCAATCTGAGGGGGTGGGGAGAAGCAAATATTGTCTAAAAAATGTAAAAAATGCTAAATTTTAAAATAATAAAAAAAAATAAGGCCAAAGACCAAGGGCAACAAATAGAAAACAGTCACTTTGAATGTCAATGATTTAAATGCACCAATTAAAAGACCTAATATCAGAGTGGATCAAAATACAAAAACCAACTGTAATACAAGAATACCATTTAAAATATAAAGACAGGGCCTCCCCAGTGGTGCAGCGGTTGAGTGCTGGGTTGTGAAGCTGCCCACAGCCTCTGCAGTGCCCGTTCGATCCCCGGCCACCAGGAGAGGGTCCCACATGGCATGCAGACCTCTCCTGCCGCCCGCTGCTTCCCTCAGCAGTGTATTTCATCAGTCTGCCTGCTCTGCTCTCCGCTCTGGCTCTGGCGGATTCTCTCACCCTCCCACGCTTCTGATTGTACCCAGTGCTTGTATAAATAAATAAATAAATAATTAATTAAAAAAATTAAAAAATATAAAGACACATAAGATGAAATATAAATGTATAAAAATATTCCACAATAGCAAACTGCAAAAAGATTAGACCTCAAAGTAAGGAAAGTTATTATAGATAAAGAAGGGCATTGCATAGTCTAAAAGGGTCATTTCTCTAAGAAGACATAACAATTCTTAATGTGTATGTACCCCAAAACAGAGCATCAAACCACATGAGGCAAAAACAGATAGAAATGAAAGGAGAAAAAAATGACTCCACTATTGTAGTTGGAGACGTCAACATCCTTCTATCAGAAATG